CGCAAACCCCGGTCGACTACATGGGAGTCCAGCGACATAGCCATTACGCTAACTGCTGGTCCCAATAAATATATATTTTTTAATTGCTGCATCTAGTTCCCTGGATCAGAGCATCATGACAGCTATCCATTGCTTTAAGTCTAAAAGCATGTTAGTAGTGATCAGTATCTAAATATCCACACTCTCCTATATGCCATTGATGATATATAATACTTTATATCCTAAAAACAGCTTACGATTTTAATGTTGGGTTGTCAGGAAAGTCAAGACACGTTTGCATAGAAAAACAGAAAAATACATCAGAACTTTCCTGATGACATAATAGCATAAATTACAGAGTATACTTCTTCAGAGTATGTAAACTAGAGTGAAGACCTAACGGCTAGATACCTACTCCATGAGTGTAGGGACTATGGCTGTTTCTCCATGATAGCTTCTCCAGCACCTAGCATAGAGCCTAGCATGTAGCAGTCACATACGTGGGCTGAAACAACGAATCAGATAATCCACATAGCCTTCTAATTATTTTCCCATGGCTTTCATCAAAAAGTGGTTCTCTTTTCAAATAAGCATTCAGGTAATGGAAGAGTAAGAAGAGGTTATCCAGCCAGCTGGATCAGTCAAAATAACATCTGTGACCAACAAGGTAGCAGATATTACGACAGGATTGCCTTAATCTCTCTTGTGTTTTCTCTCTGGTTTCTAACTCCATGTATGTTTAACTGAACTTAGTCCCTAGTAATGAAACACAAGACTTCAAAGTCCCTATGTATCCTAAAATAGTGATTTTTACTTATAACTCATCCTTTGCAGCTCGGAATCAAAGTATAACCTACTAGTAAACAGTTATTCTGAAAATCAACTAGTAATAGCTTCTCCAAAGCCAAGCACTCTTCAGATGGTTTCGTGTGTGTGTGTGTGTGTGCACATGTACCCACCAGGAACATGCCTTTCTTCCTGAGACCTGGTTCAAACCTCCTCCATGAAGTCTTCCTCAATATCCCCAAGCACAATCAGCGGCCTCATCCTCTTTACTGACGTCTCTAATAGAGCACTTAGGCACTGCATTACAACTTTACCAGTTCTCCTTGCTGACTTGAGTTCCTTGCAAGCCACCTACTCTATTCAGTTTTTGTCTGCAGCTCAATGATGCTCAATAAATATTGGTTGAATAAACGAACTCACTTAGTTAAGCGATCAGCAGAGATGAGTTTCTAAATGTAACTGTTCAAATTCTGACATTCAAAATGTCATTGTTTTCAATGGTTTGATTTCTATTTTGTTGAAGGGGGGTTTGTATTTGCTTCTTTTTTTTTTTTTAATGTTAACTTTGAAAGAGGTAATCTGTGGTAAGTAATTTCTAGGCTAGACCTAAAAGAAATAAAAGTATTAATGCAGTTTTCCTGCTCTGATCTTGCTTGCCTGATTTGCAGGAGTTGGTGATTACAGGAATTCAGGCAGGTCCCTTTCAACCTGGAGAGTTCATGAATTAACAGAGTCCTATAAACCCAGGTGGAGAGCTGAAACTATTGATAAAAGGCTGGGAAAGCAATAGTCAAAACGACTTACATTGACGAAAATGAACACAAACCACTATAATCTCAAAATACACAGACTAGAAATGGTGTTAAAATTAGCAATAAAAGGGGGCCAATAGGTCGCATGATAGTGAAGACTCTGGACTACCAAATACTCTACCATGGTTCGAGCCCCAGACCTGGTGACTTGAAAATCATGCCAGGCACATGTACGTGTCTGCCCCAAATCCTGGGAGAATGAAAGAAAAGAAACTGTGGCATTGTCATCCTCCATGGAGGGTGATTTCTCACTTTCCCTCTCACTGTCTCTATCTCTATGGTGAAAAAAAAGAAAAAAAATAACTGCAGTAAAGCTTCACTGGATTACAGTGTTAAAAACAACCACAAAATAAATATAAACTGAGAATTCAAGTGAATTCCACAAACATTTATTGGCTATCTATGTGTCAGTCACTAAATAAACTATAGCAAAAGAGTAGGGCAAAGGGGACCAGCAGAGGGTGTAATGGTTATGTCGCTGGACTCCTATGTAGTCAAACGTAGTTTGAGTCCTGGAGCTGGAGGCTTAAAACTCACACTTGGGTATGCATGCATACCCAAGATCCCTAGAGGAGAATGGTGCAGAAGAAACTGGCCATCTCCCCGGGTGGGGGGGATTTCTCACTTTCTGTCTCTCCATCTCTGTCTGTCCAGTGAACACATGCGCCCTATAACAAAAATTCCTCTCTCAGAAAAACAAACAAACAAACGAAGAGTAGGGCTAAGGATAAATATAAAAATTCCACCTAAATGTAATTATTCATTTTAGAACCAAAAGTTTAAAAATTATAGGAATATGGCAAAACAATGGAAATCAGAATTTGGTAGATATTAATCACAAAAAAAGTGACAAACGAAAGTATACTTAGTATTGTATGTAAGAAAAAGTTAGTTATAAAAAGGTTAAAGGTCAAACAACAGGTTGTCTCATCATTTATTACCCTTTAAAAATAAATCTGCTTTATTTTCCATTTCTAAGAAAAGTATTTTTAATTATAATTTTGATCTCTCAAGTAAATTTCTCTTGTGATTGATAGTAGAAACTACAGACTATAAGATAAAGACTGGTTTCAAGCTCTAGAATAAAAAAGCCAAAAGTAAAAAGTTCTGGACATCTAAGTCAGAGAAGTCCTTAAGGGATAAGATTTCGAGGATATAGTATTGATATTAGGAAGGTGTTTCATGTCTCTAATAAATGACTTTCAAGTAATTCTTTTTTAAAAAAATAATTACTTAACTTTACTTATTATTTATTTTATTTTCATTTGACCAGAGAAGGACAGAGACACAAATACAGAGAGAGAGAAAGTGAGAAAGCAAGCTGCTAGGTCCAGGACCTGAACTGCAGTCAGCCATGCGGCCGTCCAGCATCCTTAATCACCATGCCACCTGCTGGCCCCATGTCATTCTGATGTTGTAGAAGTTCAGATCTCAACTATGCTACCTCCTAACCATGAATAAGGAGCTTAAGTTTTCTGTGCCTCAATTTCTTATTTATTTACTTCTTCCATGAGACAGAGAGAGAGAGAGGTTGCACCCCCAAACAGAGTCTTGACACAGTAATCCACCCCCAGGTTCCGCCAGCCCTGGATCACAGGCGCTCATGCACCTGGCATACTTAGAAAGGGCCTCTAGAACCTTCTCATGTGGGTCAGCATTCCAGAGCACCATGTTGTACTGTCATGTCACTGTCCAGCCCCATCTGCGCCTGAATTTCTGTAGCTATAAAAGGAGGATGGTGATTATAACGTCGCTATTTCACAATAACCTTTACATGAGGGTGAAAAGAACTAATTAATAAAAAGAGCTTAGAATAATATCTGGCACATATCAAGCCATTGAGTGCTAGTTGCTGCCATACCCTCACAACTTGGGCAGAATCGGAACACGAGAATTTGCTTTCTCTCTGGGGAGGATACGAATAGAAGAGGTGCCACTGCCAAGTTGAGAAGTTCCGCCAGCACAAGAGCCCAGATAGGATGAGGCGCTTATCTCAAGGCCAGCAGCTCAATCCCTTATGAGCTGAATAGAATTCCAAACCTCCTAAACCAAGGGAACAGATCCTGGGCTGTGGTCATCTCAACAATATAGCTATTCTATTCAACCTTCATGATTTGCTTTTAACAGAAAAGGAAAGCAAGGCCCCCAAAATACACTGCTTGCCTGAAGGCCACATCTCTATCCCGTTCTCGCTTTTGGAAGTGCTGTAGTGGTGTTGAATTTATGATAGTATTATCAAACTGGTTTTCCAGGCTTTCATGAAATCAAACATGCAAGAATTTCTCTTATCTACAAAACTGAGCAAGCAGGACCTAGGGAAGTGCTACTTCAGAGAACCAGTTGATGTCCAGTTAAGAACGAGACCAATCATCTCCCAGAAGAGTAGGCTAGACCAGTGGGAATTTCTTCTGTGTTAATTACACAGCACAGACACGGACGATCTAAAGGACAGGGGGGCTGAGAAAAATTGTTTTTAGGCAGAATCCAAATGTTAGGAGTTGGCAGGATTTAAGAAATCAACAAATTTGGTAACTGGGGAGGAATATGATGTCAAGAAACTAGTGAACAACCAAGAAAGGTGGCTTGGGCACACAAGGATGGGGGCCTATGATAGTTACCAGAGCTTTCTTCAAGATGAGGCATGAGTGGCAAGGGAGTAAGGTTAACAGTTATGGTGACAGCTTATCAAAATAATCTTTGATCAATGGCCAACAGTATTTACTGAGCACCTATGTCCAAGGCAGAGTAGAACACACTGATAACACTGCGGATGTCATTTCTGTTTCTTTTTTTTTTTTTTCAGATGTCATTTCTATTTCTATACAAGTCATTACTTTTGCTCTCCAGCAGTCAATAAGTGAGGCAGTTCCTGGCATACACTAAACCACTACTGAATTACTGAATGTGCCTTCCAGCAAGTGATATAAGCGGGTGAGGAGATGGGAGGACCCCGTTGAATGGGCTTAAGACATGTCCCTAACCTCAACAATGAAGCGTTTCCATAGTCTTCTACTGTTCTAAATCACTTTCCCATTTTTTTATTCCCCCAGTTATAACTTCAACAGCTAAAGGCGGTTAATGTTTTTGTTCAACTGATGAGGAAACTAAGGTCCAGAAAGCTTTATTGACTTGTTCAAGGTTACACAACACAAGACAGTAGCAGGAACTAAAAACACAGGCTTCCTGCTTCCCCGCCCCTTGAGACCTTCCACTGAGCCACACTGCCAGGCGCGATCTAGCGGCTTAGAAGTCGGAGGGCAAAGCCTGGTGGTTAGAGAGCCCTGGCATTTCACACCTGGACCTGAACCTGTTGCCCACAAGGCCTGGGGCGGGGGTGGGGGGTGGCTCGCAGTGGCTTGGGATTGGGAGGTGGTAATGGCAGGCTCCCCTCCTCCGTGGGAATCAGGTGGTTACTTACTCATATTGTCCGTTCCTCTGGGCTAGAGTCAGGACGCAGGGCTCCCGGAGCGGGCCCTTTAGCTCCATACCCTCGACAGCATGCAGGCGCCAGTCAAGGGTCCCCTTCAGAAGCATGGCCGGGGCCGGGTCGCGCGGGGGCCGGCGG